CCCCCCCCACGCCACACGCCCCCTCCCCGCCAACGCACTAAAACTTTGCAAAAAAAAAAAAACGAACCAATAACTAAAATTCACCAATAATCAAAATTCACCGATTTAACTTATTGAACCTTTAAATTTACATTTTTTTTTCTTTTTAGTGTTCTTTCAGTTATTTAGTGTTTTTCAATTTTTCAGTTTTTCAGTTTACCAGTTTGAGTTTAAATCTTAATTTTTTATTTTACTTATTACTTTCAGTTTATTTTTTTGAGTCACCAAAAAAAAAAAAAAAAACCAGAGTCAAAACAAAACGCATCATATAGGTATACTAACCAAAGCCCCCCAATTCAACAAAACCAGCGGGAAAGAAAGTTTAGTGGAAAAAAAATTCAAGGCAAACTAGAGAAACTAGATAAGAATCCTTATTCGGTGTTATATCCGTCCCCATACCTCATATCTTATACCAATTTGAGCAGTTTGTTTCCCCATACCAATTTGACCAGTTGTTTTGTGTGTATAAGAAAATTTCAAATTTTTCACCCAGTGCGTGCAGTGTTTTTTTTTTTTTCCTCCTCCCCCCACCCCCTTCTCCCCATAAAACCAAACGAGGAATTTTTCAAGTCGCCTGTTGCAAGTTGTGAAAAAAAAAAAAAAAAAATAAAAAACTTTTGAGTGAGTAAATACTGGGTACCTGCATATAAATCGATTTTTCAAGTCTTTTTGACAATAATTTTTTGCATACCAACCGACAGACACCAGACATCAAACACCAGACACCAGACACAAGACACAAGACACAAATTAAAATAAATTTCCACCCCAAATTTATATCAGAAAAATCAGCACTATTGAGCTAAATAACTCAATACCTGTTTCTCAATATTTCTTTAACACCAGTTTCCCTATTAAGCACCCAAGACCTCGTTTCAGTTTTTCTATTAAGCACCCAAGACCTGGTTTCAGTTTCCCTATTAAGCTACCCTTTTCCTGTTTTCAACACCTGTTTTCCTTTTTTTCCACACTATTTGGTTTTTGACATTGGCATTTTTTTTTCACTTTGAAACAAAGGAAAAAAGGAATTAAAAGAGAACGTGAGAGAGGGAAACCAAGCTTGACCAAGTGATTATGACTTCGAACTCTCCAATATCCTTGTCAAGCATAATGAATCATCATACTGGGAACACTACCAGTGGTAGTAAACCCACTAGTAATACCACAACCACAACCACAACCACCAATGGTAATACAACAATCAATAACCTATCAAGTAGTCCTATATATAACTACATGCAATCTCAACAACTGCAGCCACCACCACCACCACCACAACAACAGCAAGTACCACCGCCACCGCCACCGCCACAGCAACAAGCATCATCTCCCCCTCCACCTCCACAACAACATAGTAACCATAGGTATTCTCCTTTACAAGACCCTCAACAACTAGATTCTGTATCTTCCAATACTATATCTCAAGCTGTAGCAGCCGCAGCGAAGAAAGCACTCTTGTCGACTTCATCACCAGAGGGGATTCAAGTTGCAGCACAAATTACACCAACAAGATTGGCTAATTTATTAATCAGAAAAGGTCCTTTACCAATACGTCATATAACTGGTCAATTATCCTTGGAAGTCCCTTTGTTTGAAATGTTGAGTTTAAGTAAACAAAGAAGATTAATTATGGCTGCGATGGAACAAACTGATCCCGTTAATAATGTTGTTTTCGAGAAAATTGGATGGGGACAATGGGCAGTGAGACATGTTGATTCGGATTATATTGTAACCGAGGGAAGCGAAGGAGGTGGAAATGGTGGTGGTAGTGGTGATGGAGGAGGAGGAGGAGGAGATGGTGGTGGTAACGGGAACATCCTAACTGCAACAACACTGGAAACTGGAACAGGTGCAAATGTAAATGTAAATGCAAATGCAGGCGGCGCCGAAACTGGAGCTGGAAATGCACGTCGCTCCAAGTCTAGTGGAGCATTTGATAATGGAATTGGAGTTGGTCTGAAAAAGATGATCAACATTAATGACCTTAGGAATCAAACTAATTTGAAATTAGGATGGCTGAAAAAGAAAAAGAAGAAGGAAGAAGAAGAGCTGCTGCAGCAACAACAACAGCAGCAGCAACAAGCAATAGCGACTACAAAGAGAAGTGAATTGGATAGATTTAGGAGAGAACTGATAACTAATCAAGTAAAAAATTTACACAATTTGAAATTACCTAATGAAAGTATAGATAATGCTATTGCTTCTGATTCAGATGAGGATGCAGAAGATGAAAGAGACGAAGAAGCATCAAGCAGGTTAAGTGAACAAATGGATGAAGATGAAAGATTAAGTTTTTCAGCTGAAGACGACGACGACGACGACGATGATGATGATGATGATGACAATGGGGAAGGGGAGGAGGATGAGGAGGATGAAGAAATGTTTACATTTGATGAAACTATTCAAAGTCAACCAAGTACCACCAGAGTTAGAAGAACATCACCACCTATTAAATTTGCCAATAGAGTGCCATCAAAACTCAACTCCCCTCCGATTCTGCTGTCGGTATCCTCATTTGAACTGAAGTCAAGAAGAAGAAAATCATCTTCATCGTCAGTACCTAATTCAGTGACAAAGCCATCTACTATGAGACAGTACTATACCAATGGATACCACCACCATAATAACGGCAACAACAACAACAAGAATAATAATAATAGTAACATCCACCTCCCACTGCTGCTGCAGGCTCAACAGCTTACTAGATCTCGCTTAAATTCGATTGAGAATTTGAACAATTATATTGCATCATCGGGAAGAAACTCAAACGTACTGATCAAACTGCCACCACCAATTACATATAGTCATCACAACAATAATGCTGGTGGTATCACTACAGCCACTACTACAGCGGGTAGCGCGGCCTCTGCGTTGAGTAGCAGTTCACCGATTGGATCGTATACTCAAGGACCTACCATCAATGCGGTAGGGAATTACTATATTCACAATGAGGAGATTGCCAAAATGAATAGAAATCGAAGAAAATCGTCATTCAACGAATCTCATGTGAGATCTACTTTGAATAATAGTAGTAAACAACAAGCTATTCATAGTGGCATTGGTAGTGGCGGTAATAGTAATAGTGTTTCTAGTGATACTGATGAAGAAGATTGGGAATCTATTGGTCCGGAGTTTTTAAGACTGAAGACTATATTTAACAATGCAGTGGGAAACAGAGTGAGCAAGTATAGGGATATACTGAAAGAGGTAAAAGATATTGAAAAGCAACAAGGAGAAGGAGGAGGAGGAGGAGGAATTGTAGGTGTCTTGAAGAAAGAGAGTGTAATAGAGGGTAAACGATTACAAGGCAATGGTATTGATATTACTACGCGTGCTGGTGCAGGCGCTGGTGCAACCGTAGGCGTAACTAACGATGCCACAGAGAAGGGAAAAGAAGAAGAAGAAGAGAAGTCTGCTGCTTTTGCATTGGTCAATTTGATGTCTGTTTGATGACTAGACCAGAGACTAGACCAGAGACTAGACGAGCAAAGCGTGTCTAGTTTGAAAGAGAGAAGAGACTAGACCAGAGACTAGACGAGCAAAGCGTGTCTAGTTTGAAAGAGAGAAGAAAGTAGACTAGAGACTAGATTAGATAGTAGACCAGAGAGTAGCCTCGCTTTGCTCGTCTAGTCGAAAGAGCGGTGGCAGCTAGTGTGCTCCACTATCTCGCTCCGCTCGATAGTGTCGATAGTGTTGATAGTGTTGGAAAACACGTGTCTCTTGTAGCCTTTTCTAATTACAATTACCAATTACCAATTACATTTCCTCATTAGGTATAAATTGAAATGATACGCGTCTCGCTACAATTTTTTTTTTTTTTTTTTCCACTCTCAGATTCTTTTTCTTTTGTATTACCAAAGTCTTTTCGTTAGCTATTTGAACCAATTGGTACTTTATACTTTATACAAAGAGGGTTTGGAAGTTGAGGATTTGTTGCCTATTCAATATTGTTATAGACTAGGTTAAATATGTCCAGCACGTTGACCACCACTTCTGCGGTTTTACCGCCAATTCAGTTGAGAGTCAACTATAATGAGTGCAAAAAGATTATTTCTGACTTTATACAAAATTTCAAGGATTCCAATTTGTCTTCCATGGCCGCTGGAAGTGAGATTGAGGCAGAGAATGAGTTGGAGCAAACACATGAGGGGAAGTATATGAATGTTCTTCAACGTGTAGCGAATAGAAAGGAGTCTACCATATATATAGAGCTCGAGGATTTACGTCGGTTCTTGCTTAATTACGATGCCCAGCTGCCTTCTTTGTTACAAGAGCTGCAGAATTTATTCCACACAATAATGATCAACACTTTTCGATTCATTGAAATATTTAGTGATGTGATTGACAAATTGATGCCTCAACCTACCCAGAATATAAGCTATCAAGATGACGTGTTGGACGTTATATTATCCCAGCGTAAATTGAGAAATCAAAGATTGGAACAAGATGCAAACGAAGAGTTTAGTTCTTTGAGAGATGGGTTTACTCAACCATTGGATGAGTTTGGCGAGAGGGACCAAATCGCTGACCCAACTGATATGAATACCTTTCCAGCAAAATTGACCAGAAGATACTGTTTGTATTTTAAACCATTGGATAATGGCGGCAGCGCGGGAAATTATCCTGAAAAAACATTGTCGGTAAGACAAGTTAAGGGAAAACATGTTGGAAATTACATAACAGTCAGAGGGATAGTTACTAGAGTAAGTGATGTGAAGCCTAGTGTTTTGGTCATTGCTTATACATGTGACAAATGCGGTTATGAAATTTTCCAAGAGGTCAACCTGAGAGTGTTCACCCCATTAACGACGTGTAATTCACCATCGTGTATTTCAGATAATAACAAGGGCCAATTATTCATGTCGACACGTGCTTCAAAATTTTCTAGTTTTCAAGAGGTGAAGATCCAGGAAATGTCGAATCAAGTGCCCGTGGGTCACATTCCTCGACAATTATCCGTCCATGTAAATGGTGATTTGGTCCGATCAATGAATCCAGGTGATACTGTTGATGTATCGGGGATTTTTATGCCCCGGCCATATACAGGATTCAGGGCGTTAAAGGCAGGTTTGTTGACTGAGACCTATTTAGAGGCACAATATGTTAAGCAACATAAGAAACAGTATGAATTGATGGAGTTGAATGATGAAACAGAATCGAGGATTATGCAATTGAGGTATGATCCAAATGGAGGACACAGTGGTGGTGGTGGTAATGTTTACGAGAAATTGGCAAAATCTATTGCACCGGAAATTTATGGCCATTTAGATGTTAAAAAGATTTTGTTATTGTTATTATGCGGCGGTGTTTCCAAGGAGATTGGTGATGGTTTGAAAATCAGGGGTGACATAAATGTATGTCTTATGGGAGATCCCGGTGTTGCTAAGTCACAATTACTAAAAGCTATTAATAAAATTGCACCAAGGTCTGTATATACTACAGGTCGGGGCTCTTCAGGTGTTGGTTTGACCGCTGCAGTGATGAGAGACCCAATTACGGATGAGATGATCTTGGAAGGAGGTGCTTTAGTCCTTGCTGATAATGGTATTTGTTGTATTGATGAGTTTGATAAAATGGAAGAAAGTGATCGTACTGCGATTCATGAAGTTATGGAACAGCAAACCATATCTATATCAAAAGCAGGTATTACGACTACATTAAATGCAAGAACTTCAATATTGGCTGCAGCTAATCCTCTTTATGGAAGGTACAATACTAGACTATCGCCTCATGAAAACATCAATTTACCAGCTGCTTTACTTTCGAGATTTGATATCATGTTTCTTATATTGGACCAGCCAAATCGAGAAAACGATGAGATGTTGGCACTGCATGTTACTTATGTGCACATGCATAACAAACAACCCGACGTCTCGATTGAGAGCGCCAATGGAGTAGAAGAAGAATTTCACCCAATAGATTCGAAAACAATTCGAGCATATATTTCAAAGGCAAGGACTTACAGACCCGTTGTTCCTAAGGATGTAGGAGACTATGTCGTTCAATCATACATCAACATGAGGAAAGAGTCTAAAAGAAACGAAGATCTGATTAAGAAATTCAGTCATATTACGCCAAGGACTTTATTAGGTATATTGAGATTATCTCAAGCATCAGCGAGATTGAAATTTGAAAACGTAGTTACTATGGAAGATGTCGACGAAGCATTGAGATTGATTGAGGTTAGTAAAAGTTCACTTTATTCCGATGAAGAAGCGATGAATCAAATTAGAGATGATGAATCAACAACTTCAAAGATTTTCCAAATTATCAAGTCTTTAGCGGTAAATCCTACAAATGGAAAATTAAAGAGATATTTGAACATGCCTGATATAAAGCAAAGGGTTATTGCCAAGGGGTTCACTATACAGCAATTAGATGACTGTATGTTTGAATATGATGGGGTTGGATTATGGCAAATCATAGATAATGGTGAAACTTTGATGTTCACTAATACCGAAGAGGATGAAGATATCGAAGACGAGGATATGGAATGAATTTAGGTGTATAAAGGATATATTGTAATAGTAATAGAAGGAAGTAGAAAAAGAAGAAGAAGAAGAAGAAGAAGAAGAAGAAGAAGAAGAAGAAGAAGAAGAAGAAGGAGGAGGAGGAGGAGGAGGAGGAGGGGGGGAATAGATGAAGAAACTATAATACGTCACGTGATATATATCACGTGACTTTCTACATTTTGTTCAGCGATATAACAAACAGTTGACAAGATAAAGAGTAGAAGGGAATGTTAATTAGCCAAACAGTATTTATGGACAATGTCAAATTCCGAAGACGTTCTAGACTTTTTAAACCTGCTTCCAGAGTCTAAATTTGAAGGTACGGATAATATCAAGACGCAATCCACTTCAACGGGGAATAAGGAGGATGAATTGTTTGATTTTCTTGATCAAGTAGCACAGCATGAACAACAAAAACCGAAAAAGAAATTAGTCCCCAAGAAGGCAAAGGAGGAGGAGGAGGAGACAAAAGAAGCTGCAGGTGGTGGTGGTGGTAAGAAAGATGGCTGTGGCGACGATTATGATGAGACAACTGACCTCACTACCGGAAATTCGTCTTCTGATACTAATGATGATAGAACCATGAATGAGAAAGAAGATGACATTCAGGAAAAAAGGCACGAAAGAAGAGATAAGGAGAATGAGAATGAACAGGCACAGGCACAGGCACAGGATTCTGGTTCTGAGTCTGAGTCTGAGTCTGTGAACCCCATTGCATCCCTATCAAGCTGGTGGAATCGAGAAGGTGGACAAAAAGTAACCAATTTATGGGGCACAATTACATCCAATGCCGAAAAATTAAGCGAACAAACGTATCAATTAGCATCGCAAACCACGAATCAAATCAATGTGAAATCCAAGCACTTGGACTCTGAAGAGATTTTGGGCACTAAATTGAATAACTTGTTTCTAAATATCTCTAATCTGATCAAACTGGGATTAATAGATAATGACGCTGATGAAGTATTAAACATTTTGATTGTTTCCGACTTGTACAATATCAATTATTTGGAACGTATTGTGTTGACAAATTTCAATAGTACAATGGATCAAGTTGAAGGAAGAATTAATGTTAGCGTTCACAATTTTAATCATCACGAGGACGAAACGGGTGATGAGACGGCAAGGGCGGTGAAATTGAATATGTTTTATGGCAAATTGATTGATGGCGAGAAATTGGCAATGGCGAATTTGGAAAACGCTATCAAGGAGTATAAGAAAGTCGCCAAATCACAAGAAGAAAAGAAGAGAAATGCAGAAAAAGAAAAAGATGACGATGGAAAGGATAGTGATGTTGCTTCAGAGCAGACCATTTTGAAATCAAACATATTCATCTCAATTCAGCCTATATCAGTGAGCAAATCAGATAAAGCCGATAATTTCGCCGACTCACAAACGGTTATTGAATGCAATAATTCAGATTCTTTTTCATTCACCCTTATACTTTATGATATTACCAACAATATTTCCATTGTGACAAGAACTCAGCCATTCCCCTTAAGGTGGGCACAGTGGATAGATGGAGAAACTTTAAAACGCGAGGGTGCAACAGATAACGATGATAATGTAGATCCCAAAGAATGGGTGAAAGACTGGATAAAACAGGGGTTGAAATTAGGAGTAGGGGTATTGGCTCAGGACTACGTTATCAAAAGAATGGGTATTTAAACAAAACATTTTCTTCATGAGAGTAACTGCTTTCGAGCAGTTTATTATCGTTTTTTATTACTTCTTTCACGAGTTATTTATCATTTCTATGCAATTGATATGCTTTTTCAGTGATAAAAGTGGCTTTTTTCTTGCTTTTGGGAAAACCTAAAACTTCCTTTGTAATTCTTATAGCTCAATCAATGGATTGGAGCTCATACACGAGCAACTTTAACACCACCACCAGATGGTTTACACACGTGACCATGCCTTTGTGATGATGTATAATACAAAGCAATAATAGCGGCTATTACAAAGTCACCGATACAGTCACCTTCTACCGTCTCTTTCTTTCTCTTTCTCTCTCTCTCTCTCTCTCCATCATTTTCGCACCAAATCCAAAGGTACAAATGTCCAACTCGAAGGAAGTAATTATTATTGGTGGATCATATGCGGCGATACTAGCATTGAAAACGTTGTTTCTTGCTGGTACACCAAACTTGAAAATAACAATCATCTCGCCCAACGAGAAGGCCTTCTTCAACGTTGCTGCACCTAGACTATTGGTAGACAACGATTATAGCGATAAAACACTAGTACCACTAAAGGACACTATTGAAAAATTGTCAAGGCAAAGTAGTAGTCGAAATCGTCAAGTGAGACATGTTAAATCGAGAGTTGAAAGCTTGGACTTGGATGGGAAACAGTTGACTATATCACTGGGACAGGTCTTGGATTATGATTATTTGATCGTTGCATCTGGTTCACGTTCGTCTTCGTCCTTGTGGAAGCTTGATAATTTGCACGATTATGACTATATTATTAATAAGATAGACAAAACAAGAGAGAAGATTAAGCAGGCTGAGAGTATAGCTATAATTGGAGGCGGGAGTACCGGTGTTGAAACTGCTGGTGAAATTGGTAATGCCTACAAGGGTGAAAAGAAGAGAATAGTATTGTATACTGGATCTTCTGGACCCTTATCAAACTCTTTACCAAAACATCTTTCTGATACAGCAACAAACAAGTTGAAACAATTGGGAGTTGAAGTTGTGAATAATCAAAGAGTAAGTACCAATGACGGAAAGGAGATTATTTTTGAAGATGGTACTCAAAAATCTGAAAAGTTTGATTTGGTTATAGAAGCTCAAAAACTAACTCCCAATACTGAATTCATGCCAAAATCAGAATTGGACGAAAACCAGTGGGTTGTTACTGATGAATATTTTAGATTGATAAATCATCATAATGTCATTTGTTTAGGTGATGTTTTGGCCCTTGGAATACATTCGATTGTTGATTTAACGTATAACCAAAAACCAGTCTTTACCAAAGTTATAGCTAATGAAATTCTTGAGCAGGGACATATCGAGCTACAGGCTTATAGAGCGCCTACAAAGATGACTATGATTGTACCTATTGGCAAAAGCGGTGGAGTTGGTGTTTTGTTTGGATGGTCCTTGCCCAATTTCGTGATTTGGTTTGTCAAGGCCAGGGATTTCATGATAAATAAAGCTAGAGATTACTTTAGTTAGAGCTCTTGAAGAAAGCTCTTGGAGAAAGCTCTTGAAGAAAGCTCTTGGAGAAAGCTCTTGAAGAAAGCTCTTGTAGAAAAGCTCCTGGAGAAGTCCTTAGAAAAGTCCTTAGAAAAGTCCTTAGAAAAGTCCTTAGAGAAGTCCTTAGAGAAGTCCTTAGAGAATTGGAGTAGTCCTTAGAAAAGTCCTTAGAGAAGCTCCTGAAGAAGTCCTTAGAGAAGTCCTTAAAAAAGTCCTTAGAGAAGCTCTTGGAGAAGTCTCTTCTCGCCTCTTTCTCTGGCCTCTCTCTTTCTCTGGCCTCTCTCTAGCTCTTGCCTCTCTCTAGCTCTTGCTCCGTTGTTGAAAAATATCGCCAAACTGTAACTCGTGCGAACCACAACAATTCAAAAAAAAAATCCAGGAAAAGTGAAAAATAGATTCATAAAAAACCAGCGTTATTAACAACTGAGTAGATAGCTTGTAACATAATGTCGGACTACTCTTCACAGACGGTTGCGCAATTGAAAGATATATTAAAAAGTAGAGGATTAAGCGTTGAGGGGAAAAAAGCCGACTTGGTTTCCAGGTTAATTGATTCGGATAATGCTAATACAGAACAAGCGGGCTCCCCTGCAAAGGCAGCAGATGCGCCAATAGAGGCAACAGTTGCAGTTGCAGTTGAAGTTGAAGAAACTAAAGGCGATAATAACAACGCTAGTACAGCAAAACCGGTTCCTGTTACCACTGAATCCGCGCTAACTGTAATCCAACCATCTAATGACTTGGCCAAGGAGGTAACAGAGCCACCAAAGGTGTTAACTGCTGAGGAAAGAAAGCAATTGGCCATTGAGTTATTAAATAAGAAAGTATCAAGAGCCGAAAAGTTTGGCGATGAAAAAGCCGCTGAACAAGCTAGGAAGGATTTACAAAGAGTCGAAAAATTCGGCGTTGAACTAGGTACTGCATTGGCCAGAGAAATTGGTTTGGTTGATAAATCATTGGGCACACATAATAGGGGAAAGTTTAAAAGTAGAAGATTTAATGCAAGGAATAACCATGGTGGATTTAAAAAAAATCGCGGTAATCGTCATTAAAGAAGAATGAAGGAGGGAAGGAATGAAGGAGGGAAGGAAACAATAAAGGGAAAGGAAGAAAAAGCGAGTAAGTCACTAAAACTGAAAACGTAAATGATTAACTTTCTAAATTTGTAGAGTTTGTACTTTGTTTAAAATGTAATAATGAGAAGGGACCTGTAAACTTTTTTTCTTTTTTTCTTTTTTTTTAAACCCTGATATTCTCTTCATCCTCACCATCTGAAATTTCAAAATTTGGGACATTGGCATATTCGATTGGATCGTTAGCATTGCGATCAACAATTAAACCATTGTTATCCTTGATCCAAATAAAGAAAAGGATAATGATAAATCCAAAAGAATAAAACAAACTTGTAGTAAATAATGGTAGCATGACAGATTTAAGGGAATTTTCTATAATCCACATAGCTTGCGCCGAAGCGTAAACTAGAGCTCTTTCGGTATTTGGTGGAAATTGAGGCATGTTAAGCATGTATTGAGCACTCAACACACCTACTATTGCACCTGCTAGTATAGCGGTAAGAATAGGTAACACATAAATCACCAAGAATGACTTTCTAAAAGCCGAAACCACTTTGTCTGTAGACTCTGCATCGGGTGCAGGTGGAAATGTAGCAATTGTCTTTTTCGTTTTGAAATAAAACACCATTGGTAAGATGACCCAAACCAATGAAAACAATCCCGCGAGTAATGTAATAAATCCAACAAATGAATTCTTATTATTTACTGTACTATCTCCAATACCAATCAAGTAATTAGTATTCTTGGAGCCAATAAAACTATTCATCACAAGCAAAACAAACAATAAAACAATGTTAAGGAACAAGAAGCCAGATATTTTCCTAAACGATTGTTGTGGGAATAACCTGTAATTACGTGAGTTACCATTGTAATAATAAATGACTCCAAATCCCATTGAGAAAAGTAGGGTCATATAGGCGACGAAAACATGAAATGACATCAGTGCAAACTGAGCAACAAAGCTCAAGAAATTGATTATGAAACTTTTTTGACATGTTTCCAAGAAGTTGTTGACCAAGAAGAAAACAAACCACTGGAGTATGGAAACTGCAATAAGTGGACACAAGACCAAAAAGATCACAGCCTTGGATATCACTGATAAGGAGTCCATGTTTTGGAAATCTTTGCCAATTTTGAATCTTAATACATAGTTGAATAAACCTGCGAAAATCACAAGTCCAGCAGGAATAGAAAACTTCAACAAGGAATAAATCAAGTAATATGTGTATGACAAATTACCATAACTGTTTTTGAATACCACGGGTATTTTGAATTGAGCTTGAGCTTGATCCTCATCCTCGTCGGTATCGGCAGGTGGTGCAATGTAAACACAATAGATCCCCGTACTTGGAATCTCGAATTTGACCTCTTTATCAATGGAACCGCTCCAAATCTTCAGCTTATCAACGTTGTAACCTTCTGCAGGGTCCAAGTTGAAACTGCCATCCTCTTTCAACATTTGACCATACAAGTTTTTTTTCTCCTTGGGGTACAATTGGGCAAATACTTCCAAGATTGGAACCGAGGTGAAGTTGACGATATCGTAGTAATGAAAGATCAAACCTTTTATTTGCTTTTGAGAAGCAACAGCATCTGGAACAAGCTTGATGTATGACTTTTCTGGATGTGACCAAGATCTTTCTACGGGACTACAAAAGACACCTTGTTTTACGGTTAAAATTGTTGGAGCATCGGGGTATGCAGTGACAAGCGAGAATATTGCAAGTAGTAAAATGTATAGCTTACAAGTCGTCGTCGTCGTCATCATCATCATCATCAACAATTGTCCACCAACTCTTGTAAGAATATGTTATTTATTGAGGATTGGTGAAGAGAGAAAAAAGAAGAGAAGGAATACAAAGTTGAACTTGTCATTATAAAATCTCCTTATTTTCAAATTGACAGTTTTTACTCCCTATTGTTTTAAATATGCATAGTTAGGTATGTGGATTTTACGGTTACGAGAGATTGGAATAAGTAAGTTGCTTTTGTGCCACTGCGACAAGCGACACTAGAGAGCGACACTAGAGAGCGAAGCGAACTAGTGGAGCAATATGTAGAGTGTAGCGGCACTAGAGAGCGAAGCGAACTAGTGGAGCAATATGTAGAGTGTAGCGGCACTAGAGAGCGAAGCGAACTAGTGGAGCAATATGTAGAGTGTAGCGGCACTAGAGAGCGAAGCGAACTAGTGGAGCAATATGTAGAGTGTAGCGACACTAGAGAGCGAAGCGAACTAGTGGAGCAATATGTAGAGTGTAGCGACACTAGAGAGCGAAGCGAACTAGTGGAGCAATATGTAGAGTGTAGCGACACTAGAGAGCGAAGCGAACTAGTGGAGCAGTATGTAGAGTGTAGCGACACTAGAGAGCGAAGCGAACTAGTGGAGCAATATGTAGAGTGTAGCGACACAAGAGAGCGAAGCGAACTAGTGGAGCAATATGTAGAGTGTAGAGTGTAGCGACACTAGAGAGTAGAGAGTAGAGAGTAGAGAGTAGAGAGTAGAGAGTAGAGTAGAGAGTAGAGAGTAGAGTAGAGTAGAGAGCATTGTCAGTTGCTAAACCCCCTATATCAAATAGAGTACAATCTGAAATTAGCAGTGCGGATTATAATCAATAGTGTAGAGTGAATCAATAGAGTGCCGATTACCAAGAGTAGAGGAGTTATAGACTAGAGAGTAAATTGTCAGTCAATAGTATATACTCTATTTGACACACTTTCTACTATACTCTACAGTGCTGCTCCACAATCGAGCAAAGCGAGATAGTGTCAGTCTGTGCTGCTCCACTATCTCACTCTGCTAGATAGTGTCAGTCAGTGCTGCTCCACTATCTCGCTCTGCTCGATAGTGTCAGTGAGTGGTGATTTCATCAACAGGGCTTATTCGTGCAATCTTTCATCAATCAAACAATGAGGGATTTAAACATTGTGGCCACTGAGAAAAAGCTACATTGTGTTTTACACGACACTGGGTGATACACTATCTCACTTTGCTCGATAGTGGAGCAGCACTCAGTAGCTTATCTCGCTTTTGTTGATAGTGTTTGTCTATGTAAGATTATATTTTCATGCATATTCAGGCACGAGCAATTCCCACAACCGTATCGTCTCATATAAAATATTCTAAACATTTTCTCTATCAATCATACCTCAATTCCCCTTCCCTTCCCCCCTTACACGATATAACATTATATTTTAAACAAGTTGGTCAATGTGCAGCACTATCTCGCTCTGCTCGATAGTATAGAAAAAAGGTCACGAATATCAAGTTTGTCAACCTCATCATATGCAATCTCGCTCTGCTCGATAGTCTAGTCTTTATCTACTCTCCATCTATAGACTATCTCGCTCTACTCGATAGTCTATCAATGTCACGTGATTTTACCCTCGAATCTTGATCAAATTTTACCGGAAGAAAAAAAATCAAAGCCCCTCCCTCAATGAGGAGGAGCTCTTTTTCTAGATTCATTATTCACCCATAATATTGATGTGTTTTTCACCAAGATGAGCAATATATCAAAGGATGGGCCTTATTATGAAGCATTGCCAACCAAATTGAAACCGTATAATTACGATTTGTCAATCTACGACATCGATTTGAGCAGGGATGTCTTTAAAGGTACAGTTGTCATTCATTTAAATGTCGTTGAAAAAACTAATGAATTGTATCTCAACTATAGAGATATCACCGTTGTTAAGGAAAACATCAAGGTCGAAAACGATGGTAAAATTGTGCTGGTAGATTCAATCGAAGAGAACAAGCAAAAGGAGTATTTTGTTGTAAAATTTGCCGAAAATGTTTCAAATGGTGGCAAGGTAAATGTGACCATTGATTATGAGGCTATAATCCAGAGTAATATGGCTGGATTCTATAAATCAGCTTTTAATGAAGACGGCAAGGAAAAGCATATGTTGAGCACTCAATTTGAGGCAACTGATGCTAGAAGAGCTTTCCCATGTTTGGATGAACCGTGTTTAAAAACCACTTTTAATGTTGACATTTCCGCAGATTCCAGATGGACCATCTTGGGAAACATGCCAGTGAAATCCAAAGTCGAAGTATCCAAAGATTTGCAGAAGGTTTCATTTGAGCAAACACCCATCATGTCGACATATCTTCTTGCATGGGCATGTGGAGAATTCGAGTATATTGAATCATTCACCAAGGAAAATTACAATGGTAAGCCACTTCCCGTGAGGATTTACACTACTAAAGGATACCTAGAAGAAGCAAAGTTGGCCTCTGAGATAACGCCAAAGATTGTTGATTATTTCTCAAAAATATTTGAGATTGCATATCCTTTACCGAAATTGGATTTAATTGCCGTGCACTCATTCTCTCACAATGCTATGGAGAATTGGGGGCTAATAACTTATAGATCTACAGCATTGTTGTTTTCAGAAACAAAATCTGATCCTTCCTATAAACAAAAAGTGGCATATGTTGTAGCACACGAATTAGCACACCAATGGTTCGGTAATCTTGTCACTATGAAGTGGTGGGATGAGTTGTGGTTGAATGAAGGCTTTGCCACTTGGGTTGGTTTTGTTGCTGTTGATCACTTGTATCCCGAATGGGATATTTTTAGCGGGTTTGTTTCTGAATCTTTGGAGCAAGCTTTGGATTTGGATGGGTTGAGGAAGTCTCATCCAATTGAGGTCCCAGTTGTTGATGCACTAGATATTGATCAAGTGTTTGATGCAATCAGCTATTTAAAAGGTGCTTCAACTATATTGATGATCTCAAAATATTTGGGTACTAAAGTGTTTTTAGAGGGAGTTTCATTGTATTTGGAGAGGAACAAATACTCAAATGCAACGAGTCATGATTTATGGAGTGCTATAAGTGAGGTTTCTCAAAAGCCAATTAATCAATGGATGAACTCTTGGATCAAAAAAGTCGGATTCCCTATTGTCAATGTTAGTAGCCACGAGAATAGCTTGGTTTTATCTCAATCAAGATTTTTGAATGGTGGCGACGTTCAGCCTGAAGAAAATGAAACCAAATGGTGGATTCCTTTGAACGTGGCAACTGATTGCGCCACAATTCACGAAAAAACTACCGATGCACTTGACAGTGAGAAACTCATTATTGGTGATTTTCTATTAAAAAAGGATGGGTTTTTCAAGATTAATAAGGATACAGCAGGAGTTTATAGGGTCAACTATGGTGAATCTTTCTTAACAGAACATGTACTGGCTCATTTTGATAAATTGTCAGCTAGGGACAAAGTTGGGTTGATTGCTGATTCTGCGGCAATTGCTTGCGCTGGAAATAATACTACAACGTCATTTTTGAAACTAGTAAAGGATATTTTACCCAAGTTGGGTAACGATTATGTGGTTTGGCTAGAATTGGGTAAAAGATTAGGAGACTTTTCTACTGCATTCACCACGAAGGAACTAGTTTCGAAAATACAAAACTTACTCTCCTCAGTATATGAAGAACGATCAGTAAAGATTGTTGAGGATATCAAAGAGTTTGCTAAATTGGATAGTTCCGATTTCTTGGAAACTAAATATAGAAGTGAACTACTAACAAGAGCTGGAAAATTACATATTGAGCCGGTTTATCAATTTGCTCTAGGATTGTTTAGTAATCAAGGTGGCGAAATTCATCCTGCGTTACGATTATTTGTATATACTACAATTGCAGCATCGCCTCATTTTACTAAGGAACAGTACGAAACTATTTTAAAGCAAGTGACTCACCCAACCTCGTTGGATTCAAGGGAAATTGCACTAACTGCATTGGGATCGGTGAACAATATGGCTATTATTGAGCAATTGTTACCTTCTTTGATTGATACTAATATCATACCAGTCATGGATGTGCATTTTGTAGCCAAACCATTGAGCATAAACCATGCGACAAAGGATTTGTTTTTAGATTTTTTCTTGGACAATTATGAAAGTTTTTATAAGATCATGTCTACCAATATGGTTGTTTTAGACCGATTCGTTAAGTTGACTTTAAGGAATTATCAAAGTGAAGTGGATTATAACAAAATCAAGAAATTTTTTGCTTCCAGAAACGTTCATGGATTTGAGAGATCATTATATCAAGCCTTAGATAACATCAAAATTAATGCCAACTGGTTTGCTCGTGATCGTGAAGAAGTTGTCAACTACTTACAAGATTATTAAAATTGAATATACAAATGTAAATACATACATATATATATATATACCTCTATCTATAGAACAAAAAAAAAAAAGAGTCCCTATTGTTTGCTGTCTACTTTATGATCATGTGTTGTAGCGTATCTACCAGAAGGATCGGCATGACATCCCCATTCAGCTTTGGGAATCCATCTCTTTACAGTTGACGCAGCAGCTTTTGAATTGTTAAACAACTTATCAAACTTACATCTATACCAGTAAGCCTCCTTGGTTTGTGGTATATCATCTCCCCACTCTGGTTTAGGATTAGCCATTTCCTCATCAGAAACCAACCTTTCGGCAGTGTCCTTAAGACAATCAATCCATGAGTACCCCACACCATCTGAGAATTGCTCCTTTTGTCTCCAAAGGATTTCGTCAGGTAAGTATGGATGATCTTTAGTATCAAATGCTTTTCTCAAGATATATTTTTCAATGTGATCTGGAGTTATGAGTTTTTCCTTAGGGTCAATGTTCATACAAACTTCCAAAAACTGTTTATCTAAAAAGGGAACTCTTGCTTCTAAACCCCATGCCATTGTTGATTTGTTGGCCCTTAAACAATCAGCATAGTGTAAGTTTTTAACTCTCTTCACACATTCTTCGTGAAATGCTGCCGAATTTGGAGCATTTGCAAAATACAAGTACCCACCAAAGATCTCATCTGATCCTTCACCAGACAAAACCATCTTGACTCCTTGTGCTTTAATTTTACGGGACAACAAATACATTGGCGTTGATGCTCTTATTGTGGTAACATCATATGTTTCCAAATGATATATCACGTCATCTAATGCATCTATACCTTCTTCTAAAGTAAATGTGTGTGAATGATGAATAGTTCCAATGTAATGAGCTACTTTTTCTGCAGCAATCAAATCTGGAGCGCCGGGCAACCCAATGGCAAAAGAGTGTAGTTGGTTAAACCCACCTGACGAATGTAACGAACCTGAAGCATCAACACCCGATAATTCTTTGTTAGCATCAATACCTTGTTGGTGTGATTTTGCTGCATTTTCATTTGCTCTTTTGGTTTCTCTAGCCGCAATTGAAGCAATTAAACTCGAATCCAATCCACCGGATAATAAAACACCATAAGGAACTTCGGCCATCAATCTTTTCCTCACTGCTAATTCCAAAGTTTCTCTAATCTCGGTGTAGTCAACTGGGGTTTCGGGAATCCTACTGTCATCCCACCATGAAGGTTGAAAGTATCTTACTATTTTATCAGTGTTTGAATCATAAATGTGTCCTGGTGGGAAAGCTTCAATAGTGTCGCATTCTTCAACAAGACATTTCAATTCCGAAGCAAAATATCTGGTTTCTGGAGATTTGGAAGATTTACCCATGTACAAAGTTGTAATACCAATAGGGTCTCTTGCGGCTACAATCCTATCCGATTCCTTATCATGCAACACCCAAGCAAACATACCGTCTAAATGTTTAGGTGCATCAATGTCATACTCTACAAAAAGTGGAATAATCGGCTCACAGTCACTTAAACTGTTGAATTTATAGTCTTGAAAGTGTTGTCTCAACTGTATATGGTTGTATATCTCTCCATTAACAGCCAAAGTAAATCTGCCATCGGGTGAAACTATTGGTTGTGCACCTGCATCCAAACCAACAATAGCTAATCTCTCATGACAAAATATCGTATCATTAGAACAAATAATGTTACCTGACCAGTCGGGACCCCTGTGTCTAATTAACTTGGAGTATTGTAAAGCCTTGGGTTTGAAGGATTCCACATCCTTTACTCTGAATGCTGCAAATATACCACACATGTTTTCTTGCTCAATCTTAATGATGATTAAAGAGTAAAGAATGTTTCAGAAGTGAAAAATTTTTGATGAGGAGATCTTGAAAGCTTTGTAGCGCGCGAAAAAAAAAAAAAACAATAGCGCCCCGAAGACAAAAATCCCGCTATTGACTCATCTCGAGAAAGCAGAATCAGTCATAGGTAAATAGAGAGAAAGAAAAAAGGAATGGGAGGCGGGGGGAGGGAAGGTCAATTTGGAACTCATAAGATTTGATAACAAAGTGAGAGTAATCTTTGATATATCAAAAATGGCGAGTTTTCTTTCTTACTCATTGTCTGATTTTTTATCTTTAATTAACTGTTTTGAATATTGTCTGTTTATTTCAAAGTTGTTTTTCCTTTGTTTAAGAGTTGAGTAACACCAATAGAGTAACACCAATAGAGTAGAAGCTAGTAGAGTAACACCAATAGAGTAGAAGCTAGTAGAATAACACCAGTAGAGTAACACCAATAGAGTAGAAGCTAGTAGAGAGAGTAAAGCAAATGGGTAGTCTGTAGAGTAGAGCCTGTAGAGCCTGTAGAGTAACACCAGTAGAGCCTGTTGAGCTATCCAGTTTCGTGTTTTAATTATGCTTTTGCCTTTGTCAAATTTTTTGTGACACTGACCCCAATTGTAGAGCTGTGTTACAGAGTAGATAGATTAAAGAGTTTAGCTAGTTGGTGACCCCAATTGTAGAGCTGCTCCACTATCTCGCTCTGCTCGTTAGTGTCGGTGACACCAATTGTAGAGCTGTGTTACTATGAAACGTAAATCCAGAGCAACATCGTTCAATTCGTTCATCACGTGACATTCACCTGAGTGCTAAGATGGTTCTTTCCACACTGGTAAAATGTTTGAAAGCTTAGTCACGTGGTCTTTATTGGCTGAAGAGTGTCATCTCTCCACCAGTTGAGCTAATCGACACTAGCTGCCATCACTAGCTAAAAGATTTAGTTGTGTATCTACAAGTGTAATGATATTAATGACTTGTATTTTTTTCTTTCATCTTTTTAACTTCTATTGAAACTATAAAACTGCCTAGGTCTAAGTATAAACAATCACAATTCTACTTGTTTTCAAGGTGCAGCGTTCCAAAATGCTAGTGTTTCCCCCCTCCTCCTCACCCTATAGCGGTTATTTTTTGACTAAAGTTTACTAGCCCTGGGTTTAACACTCAATTCATCATATTGTTTTTCATAATAATTGTCATTTGCTCTATTTTGTCTCTCCAACTCATCATAATCCCTATCAAAGTTCTTATTAGTAATATCAATGACATAATTAACCTCAATTTCATCAGTCAACAAGTTCTTCTCCTTCGTATTCGTCTGTAACAATTGATTCAAAAACCTATTCAAAACTTGTAAATCCCGAGGGCATTTTATTTGAACAAATGCTTTAGTCTTTGCTTTGTTCTTAAAGATTTTTATCAACTGCAAGTTGTTCAAATAGTACAAATCAGATACCAAGTACTGTTTATTTATTGATTCTAGGGATTTGAATTGAGCTTTTCTTCGCAGTTGAACAATGATATAATTCAAAAGACCCTTTGTCGTTGGATACTTCAACTCATCATCGTCCAAGATTATCTTGCTGTGGGTTTGTTGTTGTTTTGCCCGAGCATACTTTGATGCCAAGTCTGTTGTCAACTCCAAAATGTTGGATATAAGAACAACATAGGATTCCAAAAATGGTTGGGCCAAATTGGCAAAAATCTTGACATATTGATGGTCAATAATTTTGTAAACAGACAACTCAGACACATCTGAATGTTCCTTTGCGATTATCTCCATATCTGTTAAATCTTGAATTATAAAGGTCATGCCATTTCTTTCATTCTCATCATAGTCAAACAAAAATTCATTCTTGAGAAAGCCTGTGAGGATATAGAATAGTTTTCCAATGATTCTTCTGTTACAGTACTCGGTACCATCCAACAAAGAAACGATATACATAACGAGACACCTTTGGATAATCAAATGTATGGTTAAATTCTTATAGTATAGCAACTCAATCGGTGATTCAATCTTAATCAACCTTTTCTCATCATTCGCCTTGATGAATCTGAAAAATGACGAGACTTCATCAATGACTAGGTCCTCCAATTCTCTATTTGAACAATTCAACATATCTATTAGAATAGTTTTATTCGTTGTTGAAAATTCGTTTTCTCTCAACAACGCTTCAACGACAAGACGAAGTACTGGGATTAAATCCTTCACCGGAAATATACTCTTTTGAGCAAAATAGTCATATGCTTGCAATGCAGTACCAATTATTGAAACCTTGGGGACGTATGAGTTCTTGTTGATTTCATGCAATATTTTGAATCCCAATTTTTTCAAATTAACCTGTTTTTCATCAGTTAAGCTAGAGTCATCAATAAACTCGCTCAAAGTAAAACTCTCACCCAATTTAACAAAAATTTTACCAGTCAATTTCCTAGTACTATTATCCGTGAATCCTTGTTTATCACGTATAATTTCATCCTTTTTATTACTGAAAGCACTTCCAGCAACTGACAAGATACCAAGCAAACTCTCTTGAGTCTTGTCGTCACCCTTCAATTCTTTTAAAAACTCATCATTCTCATAAACACGTTCATATGTCACTGCAACAGGCTGAAACAACATATCAAATCTAGGTTTATGTTCTTCAAACCTTTGTTTAAAGTAAATCGAAACTAGGCTTTTCAATATACCATATTTTGGCAATAATAATTTCCCGTCCCTGGATCTTGTACCTTCGATAAACACTTCAAATGGGATCTTGTTGATCAAAATGAATTCAATAACATTGTTCAAATTACGCTCGGTGTACAACTCATTGTTGAATGATCTTGGAATAAATATGGCACCCAAATTTTTCAATAATCCGCCAACTACAGCAACATTCAAATTTTCACCAGCAATAACTGCTGGTGTTGAAATTGTGAATCGAACACAAATTAAATGCAAGATGATGTAATCCAAGTGAGACTGATGCGAAGGAGTCCAAATAATCGACATTGGGTCTTCAAGATACCTCTTGTACAAATTTGAAATATCTTGTTTTGAGACCCAAACCCCCTTTGGGAACAATCTCCTCATTATGATCATAACTGTGATATAAGCCGATCTTATGAAATTATGGGACGGAAAGGTTGGTAGGTTTTTCTCGTTATTTTGCTTATAATATTTCACCATATACTCCTTGACTTCATTAAATCTTGGTTTGAAATCTTTGGCATCGATGAGTTTCATATTGAGTTCCTGGTTGATCAAGCTGTAAACAATCTCGTCCAACTTCTTGTCGTCCTTTTCCAATTTGTTATTCATGTAGTCCTTGAATTTTTGTCTAAACTCGTCAGAGTGCTTGTTAATGAAATATTTGTACTCGTTATTCTGGTAGATTTTGTCATACTTTGACCCGCCAACAATCATTCTAAATGCCGAGTTTAAAAGGTTAAACGATTGTCTCAAGGTCTTATAATTACCCTCTACATCGACATAAGTCTCTTTATCAATTGGTAAGGGGAATTTCAAGTCGACATTTGGTTCCGAGATTGGATCATCAAGAATATTGACGTCAAAGTCAGAATTAGAAATATCTTCTTTAAAATCAGACATTTCTATCAAAGAGTATCGAGGGTCTCAGGGCGTCAGGGTATCAAGGTCTCAAGGTCTCAGGGCGTCAAGGAGAAAAAGAAGAATCCTAGAAAAGCCCTTATCTAAAAGATATTATATATATATGTATATATATATATACAAAGAAGATATGTAGAGCTTTATATACCGGGGTCTATCCCCATATATTACCTTGATCAGTAGGTTATGATAAATTTCACGCCCTTAACTAAAAACAGAAAAAAGTTAAAAAATTTAAAACGATTGAAAATTGAAAATAATGCCCGAAATTTTGTTGGGTAAAAAAAAACCAAAAAAAAGTGGGAAAAATGGTCCGTTTTTGGTTCAGTGACTGAGAGGGAAGAGGTGAAAAGTAGGTTTATGTACGGTAGAGTATATGGTCTATTGAGTGTTGTTTAAGTGGTGTGTGTTTAAAAAGCAAAATATCGACAAAATATTAATAGCGTTAAGAGAGAGCATCTCTCTCAAATTGTAGGGCTCTTTTTTTTTTTTTTTTTTCCCCCATTGTTCCCAATGATGATGATGAATATTGTTTATTATATACATCCTCCGACTCACCTGGTATTTTTGACGTTCAACTGTTGTTAGTATGTAAGCTCAGTCGTTGTAATGCATGTTTTATTCGGCATTGTGTAAAGACCCTTTTCCATATTTTTTCCCCATCTCTTCCCCATCTTCTAGAGTCTTGATAACTTTTGCTAGATCTCCATTTGGGGGGGTGCAAAATAATAAAATAAAACATTCCACCTGACTCTAGTAAACATTTTCTCTTTATTAGTCAAAATCATTTTCACTTTTTCACCTTATTAGTCAATTTTTTCACTTTTTCACCTTATGTCAAGATCACTTTCGTCTTATTAGTCAAATTTTCACTTTCACTTTTTCACCTTATTAGTGAAATTTTCACTTTCACTTTTTCACCTTATTAGTGAAATTTTCACCTTATCACCTTATGTCAGATCACTTTCACCTTATCACCTTATGTCAGATCACTTTCATCTTATCACCTTATTTGTCAAATTACTTTCACCTTTTTGATCATTTAATCAGTCAATCTCTTTATTATTTTGTAAAAAGAAATTACCCAATTGGGAACTTTTATACTTTTCATGAGAATATTATATCAAGAGGCACAAATTAAATATTTACTTGGTTAACCTCGATTGCATTGTATTATCCAATAGAGTAAACTAGCCACAACTTTATAAAGCACTACATTTGGTCCTCGGGTATTTACATGTACGCTTTTGTTAGAAGAGAATAAATCCTAGCGACTTGCGCCTCGCGCTTTATGTTTCAGCCTCACGCCAACACTTTGACAAGGGGAAAAAGAGTATACTATGTTACTTTTCAAAAGATTGGCAAAAAAAAAAAAAAAAGAATACTATGTAATTACTTTGAAAGAGTATACAATGGTACATTTCTAAAAGATTTGTGTCTCATGTGATGGACTCTGTCACTTTGTAATTTTGCTATAAGATAAGACCAAAAAGAAATTAAGAAATCAAATAAAAAATACAATAATTTATTGCTAATAATTGTTAATTTTCTTTTAAAGTTGCTCTGTTTTTGCAACTTTGTATTGAAAAATCCTATTTTTATGTTAGCATTATTTTTCTTCTCCTTAAAAGGTCAGACTTTACATCCCCGTTTACTTCTATCTTTTACCCTTGACATCCCCGTTTACTTCTATCTTTTACCCTTGACATCCCCGTTTACTTCTATCTTTTACCCTTGACATCCCCGTTTACTTCTATCTTTTACCCTTGACATCCCCGTTTACTTCTATCTTTTACCCTTGACATCCCCGTTTACTTCTATCTTTTACCCATTTTTTCTTTTTTTTTACAATTAAACCATTCAATACAAGTCATATGGAGATGCTTTTACAACGAAACTGGAATGGGAATAGGTTTATCAAATAATACAAATAAAGATGAAGCTGTGTGTATATTCTCTGTTGACCAATCCCTCTCAATAAATAGACTAAGGGGTGGGTCCTGTCTAGTTTGAGCAACTCTATAATAAATTTATTTTATGCTCTATACACTTTATGGTCTATATACTTTATGCTCTATACACTTATGCTCTATATACTTCATGCTCTATATACTTTATGCTCTATATACTTTATGCTCTATATACTCTATGCTTTATATACTTTATTGTAATGGATACTTATTTTCTGTTTGTGTCCAAATCCAACTTATTGTGAAATACGGGCAAGAATATACTTGATTTTCTGTATAATTGTTAGAAGGATACTTTATAGAGAAAAATCGATTTTATCTTAAAAAATAACAAAAGAATAAAAAAATTGATTGCAAAATCACTCAAAATTTTCCATAATTCAAATAATCAGTCCCTTCAAGCCCTCCCCCACCACCACCACCTTTTTCCCATGTTTCTTGTAGAACAAGTGGTGGGTTCAAAAGGTACCGTTATACGCTTGAACTACCCTTGTCCCTCCTGTTCCATTTTTGTTGTGTAATTCTTTTCATCAAATGAACAAAAAATCATATAATATTTTACCACCAATTAATGAAAAACGGCTGCAAAATGATAAGGAAAAAAAAGACTGTACAAAAAGTCAAGCTCTGTCAAGTTAGTATTATCTTTAGTTGAAGGCATTGTCAATCGTTATTTACAGTTTTATTGACTACTTAGAAAATCTAGAGATTGGTACATATCATACTCAGGGTCCTCCCCCCCTTTTTTTTTTGCGATTTTATTATCGTTTTTTTGTTTTGTTGGCCTCCCCTTCAACCCGCTAGAATCATTTTTGAAGTGTTTACTTCAATTTATTATTAGTTTTATTTAATGGAGCCCTTCTTTCTTTATGGCTAGTACTCTCCACCCTCATTTGCACAGATTTCGTTTTGATAATTTCGCTGGATAATTTATTATGGAAAACCTCATTCTACCACTGCTCTAAACCATTCTAGGTATGATGCAGAGGTTTATAGTAGCTTTCATGAAACAAACACAACTGTAAAATAGCTATTACAAATACTTCTGCAACTCCATCCATTTTAGCTTCCCTATACCCCATTGATGCTACCAACTGAACCAATTCACATTCTTATATGCTGAAGAAGACGTGTGTGATTGTTGTCACAAACAAATACAGAAAGCAATATTCTTACTTTTCATTGACTTGATATTTTGCACCAAAGAAACTTTGAAAGAATCAACTGACTTTGAATAATATGGCGGGTAAGGGGCAAAATTCGAAAGGTGGGGCAGAAAAGCGCGAAAGGTTGGATAAAGGATTTAGGGGGCGGGGTTGCTTTTGGGGGAGGGGAGATGACAGATGAAAACCCTTCATATCAAAACTTTAACTTTGTAAAAATGTGTTATGATTTGAAAAAATTTTCATCATTTAGCTATTAAATGTATTATTCAAGGGTATATTTTACACGGGGAAAGCCAGATATACTGTATTTCCGAAATCTCAAATCTCGAATCCCAATAAAGCTAGTCTCTCATTACGGCTTTGGAGAGTATAAGACTTCATGCCTTCAACCCAAATATAAGCAAGTTTTTCTTTAATTTTTTAAATCTCACCTGACTAAAATAGGGAGCAGCAAGAACCAAATAACATAAAAGCTACATATCTCTTACGCTGTTTCGATCTAGTTGTGAAGGCTCCCCCAACTGTACATGAAAAAGAAGGAAAATCGGAAAACAAACATTAAACGAAACTCTATATATTGCTATTGCATGAGAAAGGGGAAGAGGCAGGTTTTCCCACAACTTTTGCTGTTCTGAAAGGAAGAAAAAACGTGCATATTCCTCACACTAGGCACCAATCGTCGATAATAAGAGCTAAATAGAAGTGAGCAAAACATTCCAGTTATTTCTCACCTGAGATGGATCAAAATAAGATATCATAGTTGCCAAGGCTAGTTAAAGGAAAAGGTTACCACCTACTTTTCCCTTTCTCTACATTTTCATTTTACCACATTAATAGCAACAAAAACTAGATGGGCAACAATCGTTTTCTGCTCTACATATAGAGATCTCTGGTATTCATACAATGCACCGAGTCTATTGAAAAGTATACTCGGGCCTATTGAGAAATGTAACGTGCCTACAGAAAAAAAAAAACTGTGAATCGCCTCATACATGATTTTCATTTTTTTTGATTTCGCATGTACATTTTCTTATCTTTAGCATTGACTATCAACTTGTGCTTATATTTGGTCATCCTGCCCTTTTTCTTTTGAATTTGTTCTAGTGAATTTCAAACTTAGACCTCTTAAGATTTATACGAACTTGAGAGAGGTAGATTCTTTTACCATATTAGTTGATGCTTTCTTTTTTTTTGGTAATACACGGTGAAAATCATTCCCCCTAAATGAAAAAAATTGCTTACTTAATGAGTTCTACACTGTATTACATTTTTTCCTTTCGTACGAATGGACTTTTGGAGTGGTTTTAAGAACGAATGAATATTGTACTTTTATATGGAAGCAGAGTGGTCGTAAGTAAGTGAAAAGTCTTTCCTGAATATGTCAATGTATAACACGAAAAATACAAGCAAAATAACGATAGTAAAGAGTGTGTGAATATATATATTTGTACTAATTATGTGCCAGCTAGTCTTTCTTCAACAAAAGTAATCAACTGTGTGTTGAAAAAAGCTACCTTATTTATGGACTTCAAATGTTAAAATCCATATTTCATTAATACTTTTTTACTTTTATTTTTGCAAAATTTTTCTTTTTTCTAGGTTTTGCAGCAAAAGGCTAAAAAAAATGTTTCGGAAATGTCAAAGGATCTGACAAGATTCTAGATATTCGCAAGAAAACCATGTATTAATGTATCCTGATATTTTGAGCAAAAACATCAAAAAAAAGTGTACAAAAACAAGGCCTTCAATTGAAAATAACGAAGCGCTACTTTGCTGGCTTTTGTTGCACTTAGAGAATCTTAAAATGTATGATAAGTAAGCATACAGAAAGCGCAATATGTCTTTGAAATAGTTGTGGAAAAAATAGCATTTCTACTCTCCTTTTTTCACTGTTTTACTTTTTTTTCAATTTGCAGAAATTCTTTTTCCAAATATGTTCCTAAAACAGATATATAGTTCCGTGGCGTGGTTATAATTGCTATTTTTAGAACAGAAAGTTGTAAATGAAACACCTTCGCTTTTTGCTAGTTTTTTTTACCTTTTTTTCCGGTGCTCTTTAATGCATTAACATTGCAAAATTCTACATTAACGAGTTTAAGACTTATTATTGAGCTAATACGTAAAGATATTATATCAAAGAATGTCGAGTTTCTAATCACGTAAATCAGATCTCGTACTCATGTAAATGAGTTCAATATCAGTAAGAAAAGAGAGGGAGTGTAAGCAACGCTGAGCCTATTACCATGTCAGTAGTAACATGAACTTCTAGCACTTCTAGCACCTCTGATACCTATGAAGAACTATACTATTAATCCAACCTCCCCCCCCCCCCCTTAAAAGTCGTGATACCCGTTACTCAAGTCTTTTCTTCAATCTGCAAAAAAAAAAGAAAAAAAAAACACTTTACCTCTGCATTTGCCAGTATGATTAGGGAAATTGAATATATGATTTTCTCCGATACGCCTGTATATGTGTGTGTGTGTGTATTACTTTACAAAGTTTCAGTCCTCACGTGACTTGATGTCTTTTTCAGCTTAACTTGGCGATCCAGAACCATTTTCGCACCCAATTACTCACGTACACGTGAGATTTCATTTTATCGAATTCAAAGATCAAATACTCTTGATACTTCTATTCTGTTTTCTTTCTTTCTTTTACTTTTGGTTTCTTAGGAAAAAAAAAGCAAATATCGAAAGGGTTCAAGACTGAGTATTTTGGGAGAACAAAGATGGTGCCCCATGTATTAACCCTGGAATCAAGGGAGTCTGAAAGTGTAAATTCTCGCATCTTGTCCCTCATTAATGCAAATCCATTTGGTACAACCACAGATCCAATTCAGGTTAGAGGTTCAACTTATACATCGGCAATTACAATTATTAATCAAACAATTTATTCATTATCGCTGAAGATTTTCAGTTTTGAAACCGTTGGAGCAGAAAACTTGATTGACTCTTATATCCAATTATGGCTACACAAAGAACAAACAAATGCTTTTGGGATTGTTCCGTTTTACTATAAGTTCGAGGTTAGATCTGGTGCCGCGAATGCTATTTTGGGTTACTTCAAAAAAAACGGAACAAGTGGACAACCGGTCTCTGCTCTTTTGGGAGCTAATGGTCTTGATTATATGAGGAATTCCTTATCAGGTCAAAGAGCGCCATTAGCTTTAAATGTATCTGCTATTGATTTTATGGATTCTTTCTTAGTATCAAACTATGGTCGCGCATTGAGTGTCGGTAGGGAATTGAACTTTCCGGTGTTTACTCCAGTAGAGTCTGGTGTTGAGATGCAGCATTTAGCCATCTTGAACCACTTTTTAGCATTTTCCAAAGGCAGTCCATCTATGTTCTTATTTGACGGTGTTGATGCTGCCAAAACTTTTAGGAAATTTAACAACTTGTTGTCTGTTGAAGAGATTGGGGAAATCTACCAGAGACTTTTAGATTCAACCAATGGCGATGTAACTGTGAATGGTGCTTTAGCCTTGTTGAACAGTGTTACTGGGAAAAATTATTCTCAGTTTGAGTATGTTGGTGATGAAAATGTAAAGACTGTATTTGTTGTGTATGGGACATTCCAAAGTGAGCAGTGGAGCAGTATTGCTAGGAATGAGACTGAGATTGGATTGGTCAAGGTTAGAGTGCCTTCACCATTTGATCAAAACAAGTTTTTGCAGAGTATTCCAAAATCTGCTAAAAAAGTTGTGGTTCTTAGTTCAAATGACAATTTGATAGCAGATATTAGCGCATCATTATTCTTGAGCAAAAGGGCTAATTCTTTGTCAATTGAGGAATTCAAGTATCCACTTGATTTCATTTGGACTCCAATCACGATTACCAAAATTTTGACTCAATATCATGATGTTGATGTTGAAAAGATTTTGGGAACTTCTAGACCCAAGGATGAGATCATTACAGCTAACTCTTCACCAGAAGGAAAGTACTTATTTTGGAGTAGAGATAACTCTACGTTAACGGAAACTGCTGATAAATTAGCTTTAGCGTTGTCTTTGGACAACACCAAAAACGTGTCAATTAGAAACAAATTTGACAATTCAAGATCTGGAGGTGTTTTTCAATCTCAAATTGTTTCAACTTCAGGTTCTTTTTGTGCAGTCGACGCGGCGGATGTGGTGGTTATTGAAAATTTGTCACTTTTGAACTCTTATGACATTTTGGCAACTGTTAAGCCAGGGGGCACCGTCATCTATATCAATCAGAAACATAAAATTGATCCTGAAAAGCTTTCTTTTGAGTTTAAGAAATCTTTGGCTTTAAATCACAATAAATTGATTGCTGTTGACTTCACAGTTGTTGAGGCTTTAGATGAAACCAATAATGCTACAATAGGAATGACTTCTGAATTTTTATTGCAGTTGTCATTTTGGAGAGCTGCATTACCGGAATTGGGGGCATTTATTGTTAACAAATTGTTACAAGCCAATGGAGGCTCATTTGAATTGTTGGCAACTGTTTTGGATAACTTTATCAAAGCTGTGGATGAGAAGAATGCAATTGTAAATATCGAGGTTTCTCCTGAATGGGCTGATCTAGAAGAGCCCAAATCTGAAGCCGAGGTTGAGGATAAAGAGTCCACAAGCCCTGAGAAGACAAAGGCCAATAAACAAGAGACTAAACTACTTCCATTCTTTATCACTGAAAATTCGTTATATCCTAATCCAAGAACACCAACTGAACAAGCTGAAGAGGTGAGCAGCGCCGCTCACAAGAATCTTGCTCAAAGACTTGTATTTTCTGAAGCGTTTAACGTTTCACAGGACTTGCGTCCCGACTTACCCGTTAGAAACTTTGTTGTCAAAGTTCAAGAAAACAAAAGATTAACACCAAAGGAATACTCTAGGAATATTTTTCACATTGAGTTTGATACTACTGGTACTGGATTAAAATACGAAATTGGTGAAGCATTAGGTATTCATGGAAGAAACAACTCTAATGAAGTTGAAAGGTTCCTCAACTTTTACGGAGTTGATGGAAATTCTCTTGTTGAAGTTACTAATAAAGAAGACGCAAAGCTTTTAGAAATTAGATCAGCTAGACAAATCTTGAGTGAATCGATTGATTTTTTGGGTAAACCTCCGAAAAGATTCTATGACTCCTTAGCTGAGTTTGCAACTGACGTAAAAGAGAAGGAACATTTACAAAAATTGGCAAGTGCTGAAGGTGCTGAAGAGTTGAAAAAGAGACAAGAAATCGACTTTAATAGTTACTTTGATATCTTGCAAGAGTTCAAATCTGCAAGACCAAAATTCCCGGATTTGGTTAAAATCATTGCCCCCTTAAAGAGAAGAGAATACTCTATTGCTTCATCTCAAAAGATTCACCCTAATGCTATTCATTTACTTGTTGTTGTTGTTGATTGGGTTGATTCAAAAGGTAGATTGAGGTATGGTCACTGTTCGAAGTATTTATCTGATTTGAAGATTGGTGATGAGTTGGTTGTTAGTGTCAAACCCTCCGTTATGAAGTTGCCACCGTTGTCCACCCAGCCAATTGTTATGTCTGGTTTAGGAACTGGTTTAGCTCCATTCAAAGCTTTTGTTGAAGAGAAGATCTGGCAACAACAACAAGGCATGGAAATTGGTGATATCTACTTGTACATGGGTTCCAGACACAAGAAGGAGGAGTATCTCTATGGTGAGTTGTGGGAAGCCTACAAAGATGCCGGTTTGTTAACTCATATTGGAGCAGCATTTTCCAGAGATCAACCAGAGAAGATCTATATCCAAGATAGAATCAGGCAAACAATGGATGAGTTGACGAAAGCGATCATTGAAAAGAACGGTTCATTCTACTTGTGTGGTCCTACCTGGCCAGTTCCCGATATCACTGCATGTTTAGAAGATATAGTTACCAATGGTGCAAAGCTTAAGGGAGAGGAAATAAAAGATGCAGCTAAGGTTGTTGAGGATATGAAAGAAGAAGGGAGATACATTTTGGAAGTGTACTAAATGTGTAGGGTTATAGAAGTTTACAGTCTCAAAAAGGTGAAAATTTCTTTTGCAATCTTTGTACCGCCTCTTTTTGGTGACGTATTTTTTTAGAAATTTAAGATACGAGACAAGATCTTTCTGCCAAAAAAAGAATTCTTGCGTTTTATTAGCACATAGTTTTTCTATTTTATTGCAAAAAGCCAATGTTATTTTCCCACTATAAAAGAAAAACATCAATTGAATTCAAATTAAACAATATAAACGTACAGCTAGTCCAAAAATATAATAAACCTCTTATATTTAATTGATAGAAATGGTTTTCAAATCAATTCTAATTGATTAATGTAATCTTATATTTGTCAGAATCAGATATTCTTCTTCCCTTTCTTCCAGCAAAAGAAATTTACTAAACAGCACAATTACTTTTGAATTGGGTTCTCATACTTATTTGCATTAGGTTTGCTTGGTTTTTTCAGTATGGAATTTTTTTTTCCAAGCAAAGGCGCCAAATATCACTAGATATAGATATATCGTGGTATAT